GTGCAGGACCATGAGGCCTGGGGCCGGAACCCCTTTCTCAGCCATGAAACGGGAACGAGACTGCACGCTCAGTCAGTGCGATGCGATGCGGACAGCATGCAGGAGGCCCTCCGCCCTGGGGCTCCTGGCCCCGGGGGCCACCTGTCAGCGGTGGCCTCTCCTGGGCCTGAGGTCACGACCCCAGCCAGGCAGCTCATGAATGCGGTCCTGGCCGAGCCCCCCAGTCCCCAGAGCTGGGGCCGGCTGCCGCCGCCGCAGCCAAAAACGACAGCAGCTGGTGATGACGGACGGCTGCTCAGGGTGAGGGTCTCCGCTGAGTGCTGCCATGCATGACGTCATCGAATCTTCTCGACGACCCGTGAGGTCAGCACACCTGCCGGGCTCGCTGACAGGTGAGGATGCCGGGGCCGGAGGAGTGAGGTCACTGCCCGAGGTCATGCCTGCCATGCGCTCCCTCAGCTGCCTCACCCGCCCTCACCCTCTGTGAGCAGCACCGAGCCCTCGGAGGGACACGTCAGGAGGCTTTCCCAAGAGGAGGTTTACTCAGGAAGAAAATGAAAGGCACAAAGGTGAGGAGAGGGATGGAAGGCAGACAGACTCCCGCAGACACGGCGGCCCAGGGTGCTGGGCCTGGGGGGCGGGTCCCCTGCCTCAGCCTGGAGGGCACTGGACGCTTAACGGAGCCCCCCCAGCTGTAACCGGAGCAGGTTCCAGCCACGCCCGGCCGGCTCTCAGGGTCTTCCCAAACAGCTGAGCCCGGGCTGGGCCCCCTCCTCAGCTCCTGTCACAAGCACAGGAGGAGGAATGGGGTCCCTCCCGGCTGCAGGCCAGCACAGACCCATGCCCCTTCCAGTCCCTGCCCGGACCCGCTTCCTGTCATTGGAAGACCCCCAGGAACCGTCCCCTGCATCCAGGCTGGGCCATGTGCTGGGTACCGCCCTCGCCTTGGAAGAGCTGGAGGCTTGGGGACCAGGGCGTGGGGCGGGGAGACAGGACACGGTGCAGTCTAAATGGTGCCACAGAAGCCGTGTGAACACCGATGGTTTAAACAAAAGTGTGCATGTGTGTTGAGAGAGAGAGAGAGAGAAAGAGAGAGAGAGAGGGAGGGAGGAGAGAGAGAATCTGATAGAGGCAAATGGGTTAAACATTCTTTTTTTTTTTTTTTCCCGGGGCTTTGCAGGCTTCTTTTAAGCGGGCTTCTTCTTCTTCTTCTTCTTCTTTTTTTTTTTAAACAATAAACTTTTATTGTTCATATTATTACAAGTGTTCCTTTCCCCCCCCTTCCCACCCCACCCTCTGCCCTTTCCCCACTCCCCATTGTCCTCATCCATAGGTGCACAGTTTATGTTCAGTCTCTTCCCACATTCCCCTCTCCCCTTTTCCCCAAGAATCATTAGTTCACTCCCCTTCCATACCTCTGATTCTATTATATTCAACAGTTAATATTGTTCATCAGATTTTTTTTTTTAATTTCCTTGGTTTTTAGATTCACTTGTTGATAGTTGCATATTTGTTGTTCATAATTTTTATCTTTATTTACTTTCTCTTCTGAAAGAACCCCCTTCAGCAATTCATATAATTCTGGTTTGGTGGTGATGAACTCCTTTAGCTTTTTTTTATTAGTGAAGCTCTTTATCTGACCTTCGATTCTGAGTGATAGCTTTGCTGGGTAGAGTATTTTTGGCTGTAGGTTCTTGCTATTCATCACCTTGAATATTTCTTGCCATTCCCGTCTGGCCTGCATGGTTTCTGTTGAGAAATCAGCTGACAATCGTATAAGTGCTCCTTTATAGGTAACCACCTGGTTAGCTCTTGCTGCTTTTAATATTCTCTCTTTGTCCTTTGCTCTTGGAATCTTAATTATGATTTGTCTTGGTGTGGTCCTCTTTGGATTCCTCTTATTTGGAGTTCTGTGTGCTTCCTGGACTTGTAAGTCCAATTCTTTCCCCAGGTGGGGGAAGTTTTCTGTCACTATTTCTTTCAGTATGTTTTCGATATCTTGCTCTCTCTCATCTTCTGGGACCCCCATGATTCTGATGTTGGATCGTTTGAAGTTGTCCCAGAGGTTTCTTACATTATCTTCAATTTTCTGGATTCTCTTGCCTTCTAGCTTCTGCAGAGGAGTGTCTTCTGGCTCTTTATGTTCCAAATCTTTGACTTGATTCTTGCGATCTTCCATTCTGTTTTTAGGACTCTGTATAATATTTTTTATTTCAGACAATGTATTCTTTATTTCTTGTTGATCCCTTTTCATATCCTCATAGGTCTCATTTATTTTATCGGCCTTTTCTAGGAAACTCTTGAAAAACCTTATAAGTGTGGTTTTGAACTCTATATCCAGTTGCTTTTTGTCCTCCATTTCTTTCGTTTGTGATCTATTTGGTTTAGGCATTTTCGCAGGCAGCTTTTCTGATGGGGCAGAGTTTCAGGGTGGAGCCTACAGCCTTGGCTTCCGTCAGCCCCGCCCTATGCGACTCCTGAGACTCAGGGTCCTTCAGTACTTGTTGCGAGTGCCTCTGAGAGAAAGGTGCCCTCGATTTTCGCCTGCTGCCAAAGCTCTCCCGCAATGGGCCCGAAACTGGGCCCAGTTGGAAGTGGAGTTGGAGATGGCGTTCAGAGCAGTCTGGAGCCCCAGTCTCCTTCCCGCCAGGGCAGTCCTACGGCACAGCCGGCCGGCCCTTCTCTGCGCGCAGTGTGCGCGCCTCTGGGACCCCCTTTCGCCTCTTCCCCGGGTTCCGCCTTACAGCCCGGCTCCCTCTGGATGAGCCTGGGTCCCCAGGGTCTGGCCTAGAACAGGGGTTCAGAGCAGTTGGGGGCCCAGCACAGTCGGAGTTTTTCTCTCCTTCCCGATTGGGAACGCCAGCCAGGCACTCGGCCGCCCTCCTCTCCGGCTCCGTCCTCTCCGCGTGTCTCCGTACCTTGGGCTTTTACAGCTCCTCCACGCTTCCTTCTGGTTTTCTCCTTGCTTCTCGTTGTAGAATTTCCAGTCAGTTGACTTTCCTGTAGTTCTGGGTAATGTCCATTTTATATTTTAGTTGTATTTTATTGAAATTGTTGCGTGCGGCTGCAGCTAGGTGCCTACCCGAGCAGCCATCTTGGATTCTCTCTCTCTTTTTTTTTTTAATATAGTATTTTATTGATTTTCCACAGAGAGGAAGGAAGAGGGATAGAGAGACAGAAATGTCGATGAGAGAGAAACATCGACCAGCTGCCTCCTGCACATCCCCTGCCGGGGATGTGCCCGCAACCAATGTACATGCCCTTGACCTGGGACCCTTCAATCCGCAGGCCAACGCTCTATCCACTGAGCCAAACCGGTTTCGGCTAGATTAAACATTCTAAAAATTCTTTGTACTATTTCTGCAACTTTTCTGTGAGTTCGACATTATTTCAAAACAAAACATTATGTATAAAAATAAAGGGAAAACCCGAGCACGAACCAAGAGTTTCCAAGAGGAAAAGCAACCACCTGCTTGCAGAGCTGGGAAGACTGGGGGAGGGACCCCCCCGAGCCGGTGGAGAAAAGGGGTGTGTGCTGGGGTAGAGGACACGGCGTGTGCCAAGGCCTGGGGTCTGGAGGGGCCTGGCACCTGACTTCCCTGCTAGACCACCCCGAACAGCAGCCCCTCTGGGCCCGAGGGGCTTCCCACACTCAGGGTCTGTTATCTGAGCCTCGTCTCTGGGCCTCGCCCCACGGGCAGCCCCGCCCTCAGCAGCGCCCCATCGTCCCGGGAAACCCTCCGCAGCCGGCGTCTTCTCCGGGCGGCAGAGTCCAGCCATGCCAAGCATGACCGTGCCCGCCTGGCCTCTGCCAGCTCCCGGGAGAATGGCTTCCAAATTTCTATCGCAGTTGGTTTCCAACAACATCCACACGGTTTGCCACAAGCCCAGCAGCCCTCGCTGCCCAGGACCACAGGTGCCAAGACAAAGGTTGGCCCAGGCGACGCCTCCCCGCTGCCCGAGCCCGTCACGGGGCCCCGGGGGCCGCCGGTGGCTCCGGAGTGTCAGGTTCACGCTCAGGAAGTGGAGGGAGAGGCAGCTGCTTCACAGCACTTCCTCGAGGGCAGCGCTGACCCGCTGGCTCGCAGGGCGCCTTCCAGCTAGCTGCAGGCACGCTCCCTCTGCCCGGGCCCCCGTCCTCTGGCTCAGTGCCCGCTCCCATGCCTGGGCCCAGCGGAGGGCTGACCTTCTGGGGGATGCTTCCTCTGAGCCCAGCCCTGGTCAGAGGAGGGGGCCACCCTGTGCCCCCACTCCCATGTCCCCTGCAACCCAGCGTTTTCTCACGAGCGTCAGAGTGACACCCGGGAGCAGGATTGGGGGCGCCTGTGTCCCGGCTCTGCCACTGCCCAGGTCTGTGACTCGGGGCGAGTCACGTGCCTCTGCGTGCCTCCATGTCTTCTGCAACAAGGAGGCCTGTTTTGTCACCCAGGGCCGTGCGAGTGAAAACACTTCCCACAGGGCCTGGTCCCCCTGAGCGCTCTCAGTGTGCATGCCACCGCCCTACTGGGCTGCGGCGGACTTGACCGAGAGCTGAGGAGGCAGGAGCTGGTGCCGTCTCTCCCTGGTCTCAGGGCCGCACGGCGGGGCTCTCGGATGGGTGGTCAGAGGTCTGGGTGAAGGAGATGGGCTTGCCTACAAGAGGCTGAGTGCCAAGGGGCTGCGGGTCAGGGGGTCAGGTCTGAATTCTGATTCTGCTGGTCACCCTCCGAGCCTCGATTTCTTCCTTTGTCACACGCGAAGGCAGCTCCAGGGCTGTGGGCGAGGAGTGATGCCCACCCAGCACGAAGGACAGCCACCTCCTCTGACATCCCCCCTCCCTGCCCCCATCCCGCCTGGATCACGCACCCTATGCTCTCGCTGGAGCAGGGTGCTGTTTGCGGCCACTAGCGAGTGGGTCATTCCCCACCCAAGGAAATGGCGATCTCTCCTGGGGTCCCCCGCGGAGGGCCCGCCCCCCGCTGCCCCCAGCACCCCAGCACCCCTGCGAGCCGCGCCCTCACCTTGCGTCACCACCTTGCCGAAGACGGGCAGGGAGTCGAGCGTGGAGCAGTTCCAGCGCCGGTTCCGGAACTGGTACTGGCACTCCTCGATGGCGAGCTGGGCGCCGCGGCGCACCGAGTCCATCACCTCCAGGTTCCGCTTGCACATCTGCACCTGCCTCTGGATCAGGCCCTTGAGCTTCTCGCACGTCTCCTCCTCCGAGATGCTCCCCACCGAGGACAGCTTGGCCAGGTACCTGGGGGGAGGGCGGCGGGGGTGGGATGCGATGCAGAGGCCCCCTCCCCTGCCCCCAGCCCAGGCCCCTGGGAACCCACGTGTCCCAGCCCGGGGGCCCGGCTGCCAGCTTCTGTCTGGATCCAGCGACAGGTGCTCTGGCCCAGCGCTTGGGGCCGGAGGTGGGAAGTGCGGTCTCTTACGACAAGGCCTTCGCCTCACGTTGGGCAAAGCAGGCAGAGCCCCGTGGGACGGGGGTGGTCCCAGCCCTGGGCTCCCCCGCCTTCCTGCCGAGATGCCCACTCGCTGGGAGTCACTGTCTGCTCTGGTGTCTCTCTTTCCCGTCCCCATGGAGCCCACCTTCTGGCTGCAAACCCAAGACTCTCACTGCCAGCCACATCCCAGGGCCACCAGCTGGAGACCAGCATCAGTGCTGCAGCGCTTGGGGATGGGACAGCGAGGGCAGGCAGGAGCTAAGATGCAAAGAGTGGCCAGAACACAGGCCGCAGTGGGGTGGGGCTGGGGGAGGGGGGTGGATGTGTCCCAGGTGACAGAGCAAGTGGCAGAGCCCAACTCCTTCAGCCTCCAGGCCTTCCTCTTGCCAGTCCTCCCCAGGGGCCTGGGAAGGCTCTCTCATCTCATGACAGACACTTTACGGTGTTGACCAGGAAGCTGGGGGGCCGGGAGTAAGACACAAACATGCTCAGGAGGATGGGAAAAGGCCCCGTGAGAAGAAGCGATCCCTCTCTCAAGGGAAGGAGGAGTGAGGGCATTAACTGAGCCCCTACGAAGTGTCAGCTATGGCTCAGACAGGCAGAGTGACTGGCTCAAGGTTACCGGCTTGTAGGGAGGGACCTCACTGGAGACCAGGGGTGGATGTCCGCATGACTTGTGCTATAACTGCTGCCCTTCAGCCTAACCCCCGCGCCAGGGTCCCTGCCACACAGGAGGTGTACAAGTGGCAGTCTGATGATGGGAGCAGAGCTGATGGTGACTCTGGAAAGCCCCCTCTCCTCTCCCTGCCTCCCTTCCCCACCTGCTCAGTGAGAGACCCAGCTTCTCACCTCCCAGGCAGGGCGGCTGGGGGTGCTGTTGGGTTCTGGGGGAGCAGCAGAGCAGGGAGAACCACAGGCTTAAGGAACATGCCCAGACAGGGGGTCTGGTGCAGACCCCGCATTTTATAGGGGAGCACAGAGAGCCTCCCCATGGCCTCCCCGGAGGAAGCTCAGATCCTGCCTGCATCCTCCGCCTCAGCCACACAGACCTGGGCTCAGAGCAATCAGCCAGCGTCCCTCCGCCACCGCCTCCCTCGGTGGACCCTCGGCCAGCAAGCCGGTGGAGGGAGCTTGCTGGGATGGGGGTGAAGACGCTGTTGCATCCTACCAGGGAAGCTGCAAACTTCTCGTCCAAAGAAGGTTTAAGAGGGGAAGGTGACCATTTGGGGGATTCCCTTTCCCCAGCTGTAACGTGGGGAAGGTTCCACGGATCCTGGCGAAGCCAAGAACTGTGGTCAGAGGCAAAGGGATCTTGTCTGTGGAAGGTGGTCGGACGTGAGCCTGAGGCAACAGCGCAGGATCTCAACAACCCTTCGCTGAACGAAGGAGTGAACTGTTGAACGGTGACCACGCAGAGAAGTACACAGAAAGCCCTGTTAGAATACGGGACATTTTTATGAGGATGATAATAAAAAGAGTGGGTTTTTTTTGTTGTGTTAATCCTCACCTGAGGATGTTTTTCCCATTGATTTTTAGAGAGAATGGAAGGGGAGATGAGGGGGAGGGAAGGAGAGAGAGGAGAGAGAGAGAGAGAGAGAGAGAGAGAGAGAGAGAGAGAGAGAGAGAGAAAGAACACAACATTGATGTTACAGAGATACATCCATCGGTTGCCTCCATTGGTTGCAAGTCAGGTATGTGTCCTTGACTGGGCATCGAACCCGAGACCCTTTGGTGTGTGGGCCGACGCTCTAACCACTGTGCATGCCGGCCAGGGCAAAAAAAAAATAATAGTGAACTTTTGTGGCACTTAGTGAGGGGGCTAAGTACTTCGCTTATGTTACTGCATTTAGCCTCTCAGCAAGACAACAAACTCTCATTTTATAGAGGAGGACACCGGGGCACCGACAGGTCAAGCAGTGCGCCTTGTGTGCAAAAACCACAGGTCGTGAGAGGCGGAGCCAGGATTCGAACCTGGTTTTGCCCGATTTCAAAGCCGTTGTTGGAGACATTGTGGCTCAGGGACTGGGACTGACAGCAGCGGGCAGAAGCTGCTGGGAGCTGGGCTCGCGCACCCTGAGGATGACGGCCAAGGGGCAGTGGGTGCTGCCCGTCGCCGTGCGCCCTGTCTGGAGGTGTGTGAGCAGCAGCTGGTTCTGTTTGTCAGGCCTGTGGGCTGGACCAGGGCGATGGCTCGCCACCCTGGCTTATTGACCCACATTGAAACGTTTGTGGGTTTGCTGAAAGCGCAGGTGCCCAGGCCCCCCTCCGGGTGGGCATCGGGGCTTCTAACACGTTCCCAGGAGCAGCTGGGAGGCCGGGCTGGCATGGGCCTGCACAGCACTTTAGGGAAGCTCTGGGGTAACCACTGGGGGTGCTTCCTTCGCAGCCGGAGGGAGAGGTGGTGCTGGGACCCACTTTCCTCCTCTGCAGCCTCAGCCCTGCTGTGGGGCCTGACGGCGTCTGTCTTTCTTTTGTTTGCTTTTAACCTAGAAGTGGAGATAACGGTTCCTGCCCAGAGGGCCGCTGGGAGAAATTAATGTGATTTGGCGTGGCTGCTGCATCTGGTTCTGAGCTGGGCGCCTTGTGGGTGCACAGTGACCGCGAGGATCTCTCCCTCCCCTGGCAGCACGGGCGGGAGGGAGGCGGGTGGTCTCGGCTGAGGCAGTTCAACCTCCCCTCCCTCCCCGGGCCGCCCCGTCCTCTCTACCAGGTCCTGCCTCACGGAGGCACAGACTGGCAGTGTCTGAGGACACAGGGAGGGAAGACGGCTGAGGGGCAGGGAGAAGATGCGTCTGGGAGGCGAGGGGACCACTTGGCTCCCCAGTGGGGCCTGCGTGCCCCCCTTGCCTCTGCCAGCTGAGGGAAGGGGTCCCCTAGGCAGTTAGTCCACCTGGCACTCTTGGCCTGCAGGGGGCGCCAAGAGTCCGGCTACTGGCTGTGGGCCAGGGGTGAGGGGTGAGGGGGACAAGAAGTTGGGCCTCCAGTTGGATCCTTTCCTGCTCAGACCCCGGGCTGGCCTCTTGGAGAAGGGCGGGGGCCCCTAGGTCCTCTGTGACAAGGGGGGCCAGAGTTGGCCTCTCCCCATCTCAGCCTGTGCTCCCCCTGCGTGGAGCCAGGGGCCAGGTTGGACTGCTGGGTCCTGGCTTCCGGTGAAGGGAGGGTCAAGGCCAGGGACTGTCTGGGCGGGGGCCGAAGGCGAGGGAGGCCTGGCTGAGCCACCAACCCCCTGTGTGACCTCGGAGGCTGTCTCCTCGTGGGGTCAATAAGCCGGTGGGTCTGTGTGGCCAATTCCCACGGTCAGAGTCGGCAGCTCTCCTTCTGCGGACTGGGATGGGGGGTTCCAAGCCTCGAAAGCCTCCTGAGAGGTGGCGGTTCTGCCATCGAATGAGACGTGAGATGGGCCGGAGAGGCCTCCTCCCCCCGCCCCTAGGCCCAGGGCCCCAGGAGGGGAGAGGGGCTGAAATAACAGGAGTGGGGATTTAGGGGTGAGCTGCTGGGCTGCCAGGGCCGTGAGTCACCGGGACCGCTTCCAGGAAGAAGCTGAGAAACCTCTTCCGTTGCGGAGTGTCCCTGCCCCGTGGCTGGCACCGATGCCCACCACCCCTGCCTCTATCTGGCCTGGCAGCTGTCCCCTTCCATGCCACAGGAGGCCCCGCCCCGCCCCCACCCCCACCCCCACCCGGGCTCGCCCAGAGCCCAGGGTCTTGCCGGGGAAGCGCTGGGTGCGGGAGCTGGGAATGGAGTCGGAAACGGGGTGGAGAGAGTTAGGGCCCTGTACGTCTTGCTTGTTCCGGCATCCTTAGGGCGTCTGGCTTCATTTTCCAGATGAGCAAACTGAGGCCCGAAGCGGTGAAGTGACTCACTCAGAGGCGCACGGCTAGTGAATGGCACAGAGTGGAATACACACCCAGCTCTGTTCCCCGTCCCCTGGTTGTGGGTCTGCCCCGCTGACAGCTGCAGGGGGCTGATGCCACCCTCAGTGTCACCTCCGGCCCGGGGTCTCCTCAGCGCCTCACACAGGGGCAGCACACAGAAGGCTTTAAATAAAAACATGCAGCTAGCCGAAACCGGTTTGGCTCAGTGGATAGAGCGTCGGCCTGCGGACTGAGGGGTCCCAGGTTCGATTCCGCTCAAGGGCATGTACATTGGTTGCGGGCACATCCCCAGTAGGGGGTGTGCAAGAGGCAGCTGGTTGATGATTCTCTCTCATCGATGTTTCCAACTCTCTATCCCTCTCTCTTCCTCTCTGTAAAAAAAATCATATGTGTGTGTGTGTGTGTGTGTGTGTGTGTGTGTGTGCAGCTGCACAGAGGGCTCTGTCCTGATCGGAGGACTTGAGGGAGGTGAGAATGGAGTGTGGGGGGCTGAGGGGCCGCCATGGAGACAGCTTCTGCCTTCCAGTTTGCCGAGCGCTTGGAGGCCCTTCGGGGCCCACCTGGTCCTGGGGACCTCGGAAACCCCTCGGTGCACCGTAAGGCGGCTCAACCTTTCCCCCAGAGACACCCACGCCACTTGCTGACCCTGGAGCTCGGCTGGGCTCAAATGTCGGCTGCACAAGCCATTTCTCGGGGAGACAGAGAGCCTGGGCATGGCCAGTCTTGGCTGCCGCTGGGCTGGGCCGGCCTGCGAGGGCCCTGACCACCCCTGCTTCCTCTCCGGTCCTAGCTGCACTGCCCCAGTTTAGGCTTTCCTGCCTCTGCTGAGCACAGGCTTAGCGATCTGCCACCTGCTGCCCGGCCACCCAGGATCTCGCCACCGCCGTGCCATCGATCAGGTTACCCACCACCCCGGGCTGCCCCGGCGGCTG